CTTTTTTGAAATCTACAAAAATCAAGTAGGCTTTTTGTTTTTTCAGTTTCTGAAACTGAATGATGGAATTTAACACAAAAATGTTGTCATTGCAGCCTCTCTTCTCTCTAAAGCCAGCCTGGTTTTCAGGTAGCAAATTATTAATTTCAATGAATTTAGTGACTCTTTTAGTGACTAAATAGGTGAGAATTTTGGCTAGTGAGTTGATAAGTGCAATACCTCTATAATTGTAGGGGTCGTTTGGGTCACCTTTTTTGTACAACATGGATAATTTAATTTCACCCCACTTTTTTGGGATTTCTCCTTTTTCCATTACATTGTTTAGTATTCGCAGGAGAGCGGATTTCCCTTTTTCATTTAAGTTTTTATAAAATTCATAAGGAATGCTGTCTGTTCCCGGGGTTTTGTTATTTTTTAAGCTATCTAATACAGAGTTTAATTCGTTGGTTTCAATTTTCCTATCCAGAACTGGGTGTCTAGCATCTTGAAAGACAGTATCTGCTTCAGGGACGGTTTCATAAAAATTTTCCAAGTATAAGAGTATGATGATGATAGGTTAGTATCTCCTCCCGGATAGAATATTGAGAGCGAACACTTGAAGTAGTTACTGCTTTATTTTTTGTTTATTGGCTAACTGTATCGATGACTTTACTGCGACTACGGAATAATAATAAAATATAAAGGCTTACCGCCGCACATTCCAATGCAAACAACATCGTGATTTAACTTGTACCAATCGTTAGGACACGTTTTTGGAGCCAGAACACCGCCTATGTAGAACTTGAAGCAAAACAATAAAAACAACAATATTTACGATAACGACAAAAATATAGAAAAATCGTAATTTACGCCTGCAATTCCGTATTGACTTTAAAAATAGAAAACTCTAAGTATTACACCATTGACACTATTCTGAAATTTCTGTGAAATAATATTTCATTGAAGTTTACCCCTCTTACATCGTAAAATTACCCATGGCTTATATGACCTTTTTAAATGAAGACTCTATTCAGTTTTTAGGTCAGAGTATAGGTAAGCATATTTGGACGTATTTCTATCAATCGGAACTATGTGCATTAAGACATGAGCCCTGATACCCATTAGAATACATTCATAACAGGGCTCACGTCATAATGTACATAGTTCTGTTTGACAGAAATACGTCCATTTATCAGCTTTCCTTTTTAAGAAGGACGCAAGGTTTTTCAGTTTCAACATTCACATCCAATTCAACGGTTAGGAGCAGTAGAGGACTAAGTCTCTCATCATTACCGACGTACTAAATTCAGAGCATTAAGTTACTAATTTAAGACAGGAAAGTGTTCACTAATTACATATGTGCCTTCTATTAGTTACTATTGCTTTATAATTGCGAAAAGACCATGGGCGTAACTTCTGGGGAAGAAGGGCCGAGGTTAAACTGAAATGATTGTGAGCACTATTTTTCAAACCCCCGAAATCCTCCAATTTTCTTCGTATCACTTCCCGCGTTTGCTCTACGCGTTACGTTCATTCTAAATGGGGAACTTAGATTGAATTCAAGAAAGGATAATACGATTAGCAGAAATATAAGTACAGAAATCGTCCTAACCATTACTTCCCATACTACCGTCATACAAACGGCAAGTGGGCTGGTTGGAAGAGCGGCATCCATCTTGTCAGAGACATCGATGTAGTCTTTGAGCTTGACTGCTGGTTTGATGTTTTTCTTGCAAGTTCCATTCTTAGCCAGGTACGGATAGTCTTTTGCAAGTTGCAAACCCGGCTTTATCATTACATCAAAAGCCGGCGGTAGGTATCCACCATTACATTTTTGGTTTGGCGCCTCTGTGCAGTCTATAAGTTCTGGACAGAAGACAGAAATCAACCGATCAAAAGACTGTGACTTTTAAATTTTGCCACGAGTCTGGTAAAATTGATTTTGATTTATTCACTTTCAAATATATGTAATATTGATATATTTTTGTCGAAGAAGAATGGATGCATCATGAGGCAGAGGAGCAAGCAAGTTTTAGGGCTGGCACTGGCAGATCTACCGTCAACCATCTATTTTGCATCAACCAGGTTATTGAGAGGAAGATAGCGGTTGGTGAAGAATCGCACATAATGTTTGTGTAGTTGCAAAAAGCCTATGATAGCGTACCTTTATAGTGAAACTCTGGGAGGCTTTGGAAATATCTGATTATAATTGTTGACTAAATAATGCTATTAAGCACTTTTATCAAGGGACTTCAGCAAAAATAAAGTGTCAGGGTGCCTTGTCTTAGGGTTTTTATGTGACAAAGCGGCCAGAGCTGTGGTGTTGCCTTTTCCCTACCTTGTTTAAAATATATTTGGAATAAAAATATTGGAATAAAAAAATTGGAATAGAATTGAACTTAAAATGTACTTGTACTTAATAAAATATGCTGGGGACCCTATTGGTTTCTGGCAGGAAAAAATTAATATTTCACATAACATTTTTGAAATGCCAAATACTTTCAAAATAGCGGCCGAGTTTCATGCGAATCTATCAGGAAACATCCGTAATACCAAGTTTCTTCCATTTTTCCGCCGCCATTTTGAAATTATTCAGAATTTCCAAAAATCCAATTAAAGATTCGTTTTTCTCGTGCTAAAATACCCCCCGGATACCTAGTTTCATGCGCATCTTCCGATAACTAGCCTAAATATTCTCTTACCGGTCTAGGTCGCCATTTTGAAAAGGATAGGATTTTTCGGGAAACTAATGCCAGAATCGTTTTTTTTTTTCGTCCCATAATACTCTCGAATCCTAAGTTTCATCCTTATCATTCCCCTTACTTTGAACTGTGACCGACCGCCATTTAGTCAAAAATCAATATTTGACTTGCGATTCGCGCCAAAAATTTCCTTTTCTGATCATCTTTCGATTAAAGTGTCAAAAAGGGGGATTATGCCATTTAAAATAAAAGTTGGGGGTCCGTAGCCCCTCTCCATTAGGAGGGGGGGGGGCAAAAATAGCTAACATTCATCTATGAACATCCCTTAAGTTTCGTTTCAAAATATTGATCAGGTAAAATTTTAGAGGGGTTGGAAGGGACTTTTGGGACACCCGGTATATCGTTTTGTTAAAATGGAAAAATTTCTTGGATGTTATTTAGATAATGGTTAACAGGAATATGTCCTAAACGATAGTTAAACACGCCATTATCTTTACAATTTGCTCTCATATATCATTTGACACCAGTTTGACACCTGACCAAAGTTTCACTTACGTTGTTCTGACAGCTTCATAACTGTTCCCGACTTTGAAAGAAGTATTTCGTACGCCCCAGCTGCTGAAAACGCATAGCAAGCTCCGCAGCCTTTCTGGAAAAAAAAAAAAAAAAAAAAAAAAAAA